TGAAAGTGCTATAACAATGTTGTGATTAGTGTAAGATACACTGATGATGGCTTTATTTTATTTATTTAGAACATTGCTGTGCCCCCTCTCCAGAGAACTTGTTAGAGGGGTTGCCTGCCCCCCTCTAATGGAAGAAATTGGCGGACAGGAACAATGGATTTGCTGTCATGCCAATGCAGGATATCACTTCCAGTGTGAAACTGGAAGTGATATCATTGGGTTGGGCAACACTCTAGAGTATCATACCAGCACAGTGATGTCACATCCAGTTTTGCATCAGAATAATCCTCCAGCCTCCCCCCCCCTTTGCCCACTGCCCTTTTGAGCTAAGAAATGGGGGCTCAGGGCCAGGAGGCACCCCTATAGAGATGGCTCACAAAACAAAGCATCAAAATAGTATTTTTAAACGTTGTTTGCAATGAAAAAAGATAGCATTTAAAATTTGGCCAGATCATAAAAACACCATAAAACATTGAGCGGCTTAAAAACAAGTCTTGTAAAATGGTTTAGTCTGTCTTGTAGAATACTGTTGAAAGATCAAACCTTTCATCAAGAGCCTGCATAAAAAGAGATAGCGAGTTACTATCTATGAGAGACTGTTAAAATTCGGCATCTACTGCATGTCAGGCATCAGCTATTTACTGTTCGATGCCGAATGCTTTAAAAAAACACACAGACTGTATGTCTTCTTGTAAAATATGGTCAAAGTTAGCCCTCATTGCAGGTCACCTACTGCCAAATATTCATGACTCCTTACAATTTGCAGTGAAACTATTTTGTCTGATATGGTCAAACTGTTATTGCATGTCAGTTGTTGTATATCATGGAGTATTGCTGGCCACACATCAGATACTTTCAATTCAAATGTTGTATGATGATGCTAAACATCAAAATATATCAAAATTATTCCAGAATGTTTGTGTGGGCACAGTGTACCTGTAGAATGTGTCTATAAAACTGGCAGAAGAGATTGGGGAGGGTGTGGGAATTCATTTTGGGTCTCATTAGGAGTTTGGGGATTGAAGACCTTGGTAGATGTGGTATGATGACCCTCTAATTCCATGCAATTGCATCACTTAACAACAGGATTCTTTGCCTGTTAACATACATGGTTGGAGACTGAAGGCTAACTAGATGGTCTGCTCCACTCGTTGTCTGTATTAGGGATGGGGATGGAACTAAAAAAGGCAATTCGATTCGGGGTCTGTGGTGGCCCATGGACTGAACTCCAAACCAGCCTTACATGGACCAGATCAGTCCTGCAAGTTCGGTTCTGCCTTTCTCCTGGCCACAGCTTGCCATAGCCAGGCAAAGGGTGGGTCGCCCAGGAAGGGGCTTCCCATCCCCCTTTGTTCCAGCTGTGGCAGTCATTTAACCATTCAGTTTTGCTCCCCACCACTTCAAATGGGGGAGTAAAACCAGAGAGTTAAATATGGGGGGCTGTGCAAGGGAGCCCAATAGCTGATCCAGCAGAGAGAGACCAAACAGCTCTGAACAGCTGAACTGAACTGGCCAAAGTCCGGTAAATGTTCAGGGAGTGTGTCTTCCCTGAACATCCATTCCTGAGCCCCAAACTGGCCCAAGTTTGGACCAAATTTTTGGGTTGTGAGCCAGTTCATGCCCATCCCTAGTCTGTATATTCTCTACAATATTTTGAAGACTCCTGTGGGCAAGGAGAGGGGTCGTTGCTCACTGGTAGAACATCTGTTTTGAATACAGTAGGTCCAAAGTTCAATTCTTGGCATCTCCAGTGAGGTCAGCCAATCTCTTTCAAAGTAACCAACCTCACAGAAACCATAGATCAGAGGCAGAGCATCTGATTGGCATGCAGAAGGTCCCAAGTTAAATCCCCAGCATCTCTAGTTTAAAGGACCAGGCAGTGAGTGATAGAAAAGACCTTCAGCTGAGACTCTTGAAAGCGGCTGCCAGTCAGAGTAGACGATACTGACTTGGACAAATTCAATATATGTGTACCTGTGACTACACACGGCTTCACTGACACCACTAAAACAATAGACACCCCAAGCAACTTCTGGAGTTTGCAATGGGACCATCCTGACTGCTCAACACACGATTACAGAAATTGGCACTACCTGAACCTGGAGGAGGAGGAGGAGGATAAGATGACAATGATTTTACTGGATATGCTGCCATCCCTAGAGAGATGTCATGTCTTAGTACTGGCCTATGCATACCTGTATGCAATTTTCCCTACTCTAAGCATGCTTCATTACTCTAAGGACATAACCCTTCACTTTGCCCTTCTCCCTGGCCGTTGCCTTTATTGCATTGGAATTTCATTAATTAACGTCATCATTCATTTTCTAACATGCAAATCTAAAAGGATGTGCCTGCAGCGAGGCCAGGAGAGAGTATTTGAATTTGATTTGATTTAGCTTTCCATACAATCGGAAGCTCAAGAGTGGTCTGAAAAGGTAGAATGGTGTGTGGGCTGGGGGGGGGGCAACATCTTTGGAAGTCTGGATAATGCAAAGTGTACAGGAAACTGGGCACCGCAAAGTCATTTCAGAGGTGATACTTAGATTCTGGCAACAGCCAGTTCCAACTATTATTTTAGCTGGAAATCAAAGAAAGAATATATATTACTTTTAAACCATAGATTTCCTAGGCACTAGCTGGAACGTCACCAGGTTCTTTGAAATGTGCTGTTGCAGAAATTAAATGCAATATATTATATTGTATTATTCATCTGGAATTCTCTATCCCTTTGATACAAGTCCTTTGCAAATGCTTGAAGTCTACATAATTCTAATAGGTGGCTTTGTTCCCATTTTTTGCAAAGGTACTTCAAATAATATCCCTATTTCACAAGTTTCTTCTTTCCCAGAACTTTCTCCCTGGTGGTATGTTTCTGCTTGGAGGTATCTGGGCAAAGGATGTAGGGTTGCCAACTTACCCAGAAAAGGGAGAGGCCTCCTGCCACTGTCTCCCAGCCCCCACTGCTGTGTGAATGAGTGGGAGGAAAATGTGAGGGATGAGGTCAAATGACATTGCAATAGAGTTTGGGGGAAGTCCCACTCAGAAGTAAAGTTGTGACACTGCTTCCCTTCCCCGTGCCCTGCCCCCAGAGCTCTGGGGTGGTGGTGGTCGAGAACAGAGGTCCAGCAACACTAGAAGGATGTTTTAAGTCACCTGAAATTTTGATTGCTGTCATCCATTGTGTGTTTTCGCTTTGTTGCTCCACTGTCCCCTGTTCTCCAAAAGTTCATCTCCTTTTCCTGGTTGAAACTAATGGTTACCTTCCACCACATGAATAATCTTTTACTGGAGGAAGACACCTTCAGTTGGTGGACGAGGTATTTCTCCAGTGTAAGGACCCATTCCACTTCATGAAAGGAAACCGTGGAATCTTATACCAGTCCTGATAAAAATCATAGTCTATATGTTGTCTTGATTCTCCTTTTGGAGAAAGGGGGGGGGTCAATATTAAAATATGATTGGAATAATAATTTTAAAAAACCCACCCTTGCCTCGCATCATGTATGGGAGACGAGTCCTCCAATTCTCTTGAGATTAAGAGTTAAATCTCTGAATATGTGAGGTGTGAGGGAAGAGGAATCTAATATCACATGTGTAGCACATCCAGCAGGGATGTGATGCCACTCTAGGAATTTTGTTTCTCCTACAATCTATGGTTTATTATAGAGTCCACTCACCAAAGCTGTCATTTCCTCCAGGGGAACTCATCTCTGTAGCCTGGATATTAATTGTAATTCTGGGAGGTCTCTAGCCCTACATGGGGCAGACAAAATGTGTTTGGGGGAAGGAGTCTGTTCCTGTGATAGGGAAATGAGTGAGGCCATAAAAGAAAAGGTCCATTACAGTTTGATTTAGGGCAGAGGCAAGACCCAGGTGTGGGAAACTAAGCTGAGATCTATTAAGAAGAAAGGGGCAGAAAATGGAAGTGAGGAGGCATAGATCCCAGGTTAGGTAATGGATACATTCAGCCATGGTGGTAAGTAAGTGGGCATGTTACTGATTACAAGGGTCTTCTTTGGAAAGACCGTAGTGATGAGATTAGGATCTTTGAATGGTATAAATGATCTGAATGGTGAGTTCTAAGTGAGGGTTTGCCTTTCCAGGATCTTCCAAAGCAAGGGATTGCAACTGATGGCTGTAGAGTCAAATGTGGCTCAGTATGGAACCAAATATCACTCTTCAAAAATAACACAAATCATCAAGTTCAGGTCTCATTTATTTAGTTATTTTTTATTTATTTGGATTTATATCCTGCCCTCCCCGAAGGCCCAGGGCGGCTCATGGAGGGGGTATCTGAGATGCAGGAATAATCAGTATGTGATGTGAATGTCAAGCAAAGATGTTTATGGGACCAAATAGGGTGCTTTACAGAAAGGGAAATGATAGAGGTAAAGAGTTGCCGGTAATCCAAATGCAAAACAATGAAGAATTATGCCAGTGCCCTAATTGTGCAGGGGGAATATTTATTGCTTATTGTGAGACCTTGGTTTTCTGCTTCCTAATAAAAGACTCACAATAAACAGTGTTTGGGCTCCAGATCCCTGTTCCTAACGCTTCCTGTTCTCTTCAAGACAGCAAGATTCAATCAGGTGCGGAATCCGTTTCTTCCAATCTAGTCTTTGCCTTTTTTTATTTTGTACTGGCCGGAAATTTGTGTTCTTGCTTTTAAAGCTATGCAGGGAGGAATAGAAGTCTCTGATATCAATAGCACTGCCAGCTCCAAGTTGGGAAAAGACCTGGAGATTTGGGGGGTGGAGCCTCAGGAGGGCGGGGTTTGGGGCATTATGCCATAGAATCCAACTTCCAAAGCAGCGATTTTCTCCGGGTGAACTGATCTCTGTTACTTGGAGAACAGTTGTAATAGCAGGAGATCTCCAGGTTGGCAACCCTTGCTATCAAGGGAGGGAGTTGCAACAAAAGGAGATGGTGTAGTAGCAAGGAAATTCTTCTGAAACATATGTTAGACTTCACTAAGTATTCTTCTTTCCCTCCTCCATTAGGTACTTATGTTACTAAAGTGACAGCCACTGATGCAGATGATCCTGTTTATGGAAACAGTGCCAAGCTGGTCTACAGCATCTTGGAGGGACAGCCTTACTTTTCCGTGGAACCCCATACAGGTGAGTGGTCCCGAATGCCGACTTTCCCCATGTTGTGTGATGTGAGAGGAAAAGCCTCGTCTCGAATGTTGCTTCACTGGCTGCCTTTAAACATAATGCGTAGGTCGGTGGCTGTCAACATTAGTCAATCTGTAGTGCATAAGTATCTGACTCATTTCCCACTGCTGCGTGAAGCAGCCTGACAAAGTACAAAGGAAAGGAGTTTGTTTGCTAATGCTGTTGAGGCAACTGAGACCAATATAGCAGGAAAGGCCTTGTCGAGAGCTCACGGTTGCCAGTAGAAACATTCAGACGATTTAAATAACCTGTGTGCAGATCTTCCAGAAAGAAGTCTCTCTCTCTCTCTCTCTCTCTCTCTCTCTCTCTCTCTCTCTCTCTAACATTTTCATTCAGTTTCTTAGAAATGTTAACCCTTGCATGATTTACAGGTTCCCCCTTTTTAAGATTTTGCAGGCATGTTATGTCAGGATCCCAGCAACTATACGTAACAGGACTGAACGTTACTTGCAGTCCTCTCCATACGTACAACATTGTGTGAACATGTGTATTTACCTTGCATATACAATCTTTGGTATGCATGAGTGCAAATCCTGAGAAATTCAGTGGTCTGTTCATGTTAGGGTTGCCAGGTCTGGGCTGGAATATACCTGGAGACTTTGGGGTTGGATCTGGGAGAGGGCGGGGTTTAGGGAAGGGAGGGGCCTCAGCATGGTACAATGTCAAACAGTCCACCCTTCAAAGCAGCCATTTTCTCCAGGGGAGCTGAATGTCAGCTGGAGATCAGTGTTAAAAGCGGGAGACCTCCAGGCCCCACCTGGGGGCTGGCAACCCTAGTTCATTTGTACTAGAGGGGTACAGAGATATTAATCCCATGCATTGCCCTCCATCACATAACATGGTGTCAGCACATAATAAGAGGTTCGCTCCTATAGAACCTGTTCGGTAGGCTGCCAGTATGCATGATTGCAGCGTCTGAAAGAAGGATAAGGTGTCTCTACCAACTTAATGGTAAATAATAAAGGGAAACAGTCTAATGTTTAAACAAGATGGGTATTTACTAAGGACTGGGCCTTTTTCTGATGGTATCTCCCCTCTGAAACACTTTCCATGTCACTGTTTGTATGTATCTAAACCTGTCTAGGTGTGGATATCAAGAGGCAATTTTCTTATTCAGCCAGGTTATTCAGGAAGGTTATTTTCTGTGTGCAGTTTCACGTGGGGTGTGTACCCTCCCGACCCTCATTTGGATATTGCCTCTTAATAATGAATGTATGATTTTAATATTTTTGCTAGTTGTGGCTTTAGTTATTAGTGTTGTTATCATGTTTTAAATCATGCTTTAGAGATTGAGTATGACCTCAGAGGCCACTGGCCTAAGGCTAAGGCTTCTGTAGGTTATCAGGTTGGTTTTGTGTTTTTTTTAAATGGCCAGGGCCCAAAGGAATAGCTCCATCATATATCTAAGATTAAACGAGCGAGAAGAAGAGGAGGAGGAGGAGGAGGAGGAGGATTTTGGAGGAGGAGGAGGAGGAGGAGGAGGAGGAGGAGTCTCAGAGTGGCTTCACCTGGAGTCTCAGAGCGGCTTACAATCTCCTTCCCTTCCTCTCCCCACAACAGACACCCTCTGAGGTAGGTGGGTCTGAGAGCTCTGAGAGAACTGCTCTTGAGAGAACAGCTCTGAAGAGAACTGTGACTGATCCAAGGCTGCATGTAGAAGAGTGCGGAATCAAACCTGGTTCTCCAGTTTAGAGTCCACTGCTCTTAACCCTTACACCAAACTTGGCTCTCAAAGCAGGAGTACCCCCTACCCCTTTTGTGATATGAGCTGCAGGGAACTGTTTCTACTCCACCCCCCCCCCCAAAAAAGGGAGAACACAAATGAACTCAGAATGGCGCCAGTGAGGGAGGAAAGGGCTCCTACCTAACATCTAAGCAATTTTCTCACACAAAAACCACATGAAGGAATTTTTTGGGTAATTTTTACTGCTCCATGTGCACAGATACTCAATGTGGAAAAGCAAAATCGGTGAAATGATTCCCCCCACCCTGTGGTTGTCATGCAAGAATCCCCCCCAAGGGGGGGGAGCCCTTCCTCCCTCAGCACCATTTTGAGCCTGTTTGGGCTCTCCTTTTCTTTTAGAAGTTGTTCCCTGCAGCTGTGCAAACCAGTAAACAAATGTGTTGTGCGGTTTGTCCTTTAACCTTTTATGTTTTATGTTCTTTTCTTTGCCTGTAATATCCTGCAGTGTTGTGATATCATTTCCCAATGTGTTGTGCTCTAGCGAATTGAGGGTGTACTTTAGAGAAGACAGAACTTTTCCTTTTAAAGATCTCAGACTGAGGTCAAACATTTCACCTGTGTGCCTGACTGCTCATTCCATGTATAGACCAGAAACTCCTGACTGGGCTACAGACAGCTGGCTCGGGGGGAGGGGTTTTGATCTGTACATACACAGATCCATACGCTCATAGCCCCTATCTGTGCCTCGGGTTGGTACCACAACATCTCCAGCTAGTTCTCAGCAGTATCTCCTTTCTTCTCTGCCAGGAGCTTATTGGGCAGTGGGCAGTGGTGCAGTTCATTACTTCTAGCCTCTGGACGTAATGATCTTTTGATCCCTCTTCTCTCAGTGACAGATCCAGCTGCTAATGGACTAACAGAGCAATCTTAGGTAGAGTTATACCCTTCTAAGCCAAATAGATTTAAAAGGAGTGTGCTGGAGATAATTAAAGCCCGCAAACCTATTTCAGAATGCATGCAATTGAACTTACCGGAACTTACTTACAAGTAAACATGAATAGGATAGCAATGATGGAATCTGGAAATTGGGGGTGTTGGATGGTTGAAGAGGGAAATCTGAGCAACACACTGAGAAATATAGAGATTTGCTGTTTGCAAACAACAGGTTCTGATTGCATGACAGTCAGTGGGAGGGTTGGGTTTGGGGACATGGTGGAGGCCTGCCGCCACAAGCATGATGATGTCACTTCTGGTGACAACCTGAAAGCGGCAGTGGTAGCTCTAGGAATTAGCAGAAATTCTATGGTTTGACTGTCATCACTCCTCAAAAGTGGCATCATCACTCTTGCAAAGTTGGTGATTTTTAAAAGTCCCCCAAAGAGGTGGCAGGAAACAGAAACTCAAAGCAGGGGTCCCCCCCCCAACCAGGGGGTCGGCAGCCATAGCTAATAGGAAAGGTAAACATTTAAGGTGCATACAGTCCAGGGTTCCATTGCCAAATGTTTCCTTCACCTCTGTTATTGTTTTTAGACCAGTGTGATGATGTGGCTGGATGTAGAGCTATGTGGGTATCCTTGAACAAATTTTGCTTTCCGTCTCTCTGTGTCCCCATTGCAATGCAACCTGATTCCCTTCTGTTTGAAGTATTCACTGTATTGTTCAATAGGGCTTACTTCCAGGTAAATGTACAGAGGATAAACTATTAGTTGACTTAGAGAGCCAGTTTGATGTAATGGTTGGGAGCGGTGGACTCTAATCTGGGATAACCGGGTTTGATTATCCACTTCTCCACATGCAGCCAGCTGGATGACCTTGAGCAAGCCACAGTTGTCTCAGAGCTGTTCTCTCCAGAGCAGTTCTCTCGGAGCTCTCTCAGCCCCACCTACCTCACAGGGTGTCCTTTGTGGGGAGAGGAAGGGAAGGAGATTGTAAGCCAGCTCTGTGAAGGGTGCCCCAAGTGAAGGGTGGGGCATAACTCCAATCTCCTCCTCCTCCTCCTCCTCCTGCCATGCTTCTTCCTCCCAGGGGTCATTTCCTGCAGGAGCGCACAGGAGTGGAGCTCCGGCAGGAAATGACCCTTGGGGGTGGGCACATGCAACAAACCCCACCCCCTGCTCCCAACTGCCCTCAGTCAGAGCAAGAAGCAGCCAGGTAAGTTGCAGGCCCCCCCCCCCGCCACCCCCGGTCCAAAACAGTCCAGTGGCACCTTTAAGACCAAGTTTTATTCAGGTACAAGCTCTCCCTCCTCTGTGAGGACAGATCTGCACGTTCCCCTCCCCCCCATAGCTAGCAATCCAAAACAGTCCAGTGGAGCCTGAGTGGTGGGTGTTGCCTTCTGACACACTTCCAGTGATGTCAGGGGGTGTGGCATATGCAAATAAGTTATGCTAATGAGTTGTGCTAATGAGCTCCTGCACCTCTTTTTCTACGAAATGACCCCTGCTTCCTCCTAATTTTAACACAAAACAGTACCGTACTTTCCAAATGGCCGGTGTGTTTTTTTTGCCCATTTTGTGCTGATGGACTCTTTCTTGCCTCAAGAGCATGTGTGCCAAGTTCATGATCTCAATAAAACAGTAGGGTCAAAAAGATGTACCAACACATGGTTAACCCCAGAATAAAACTTCTATTGCCATCGACACATTTAACATGATCCCTCCTATGACATAGTGGACATAAATGAGGTCATTTTCATTTTAGTAGCAACACTGTATCATCACTGTGTGTCACTTAACAGATATAATTTTGCAACAATATTTTTGGCATTGAGACCTTTGGTAGGAAACCTGATAGAACCCTTGCCACGTGTCATTGATCAATATACATTGCCAGAGGAGAGTGCAAGTGGGAATGTTCTTTCATGACACACCCCCCCCCCGTTAAGGAGGACTCTTCTTTAATACTGTTGCAGAGTACGTCTCTAACACAGCCGAATTGCACTTGCTCAAGAAATGAAGTTCACTGGGGGCATTTCTTTATCTTGAGTAAACGAATGCGAGCCCTTTATTATACGGAACTCCATTCAGGATGGGGTAGAGCAGCGACAGCATTCTAAGCTAACTAGCCAAGTAGGATGGATGGAGGTGCAGAAGAGCACGTCTTGCTTTCACCGTGGAAATACTGATAAGAGAGAAAGGGATGGTATCAGCTAGAAGGAAGGGAGATTCCCCAAGAGTAGCAATCTATACATCAAAGGGACAGCACCAGGGCAACGGAAAGGAAGGATACACTGGGTCCTGCCTTTTCTGTCTCTCTGGAC